AAATGGAACGATATCAAACTTTGCTGCCCTATAATTGTAGAGTACGAACATATTGTGTTTGCTATTCCTTTCTCGTCGTCTTTCCAGTGCTTACATGATACCCGACTGCAGATTAACAAACCAAATCTTTAGCACGGTCAAACTCTCCACTTTTCGTCTCTCTCGCCCCTTCTCTTTCTTTACTGACAGCAATCCTTCAAAGAAAACATAGCAAGTGATCTGTGGTTCTGAAATTGTGAGAGTCTCTTGCCAACGTTGTAACGAATCACGTAAGCTGCGAGTTCACGGGTCGAATCTCTCCGCTTCGGCTGCTATGTTGGGACTAGTTTAAAAGCGCCACGGTGGCCTAGTGGCTAAGGCACTCGGCTGCTGACCCGAATCTCGGCCGCGGCAGCCGCATTTTCGATTGAGGCAAAAATGTTTAAGGCCCGTCTGCTTAGATTTAGGTGCTCGTTGAAAAACCCGAGGTGGTCGAAATTTCCGGAGCCCTCCGCTACGGCGTCTCTCATAATGATATGGTGGTTTCGGGGCATCAAACCCCAATGATTGTTGTTACTGGGAAGCGTTCAAAGAGCTACGATGTCTGCCATTGGTGAAAGGTTGCTGATCGAGGGACGTCATGCTTCACTTTCAGAAGCCGTGTGAAACGTTACAGGCCTGAGTGAAAATTTTGCTTCCTGAAGCCTCTAGACATGATACGTTTTCGTTGTAACGTGACAAACTTCGTTCATATTAATGCATCACTTGTCACATTAAAATATTTTTGCGAGTTATGTGCATTTATATGGGACATGACATGCAAGTTGGCGTCGAGGCAAAAGAAGAAATATTTAGTGTAGCGATTTCTAACAATTTATCATCAGAATAACAACGTCGTGAAGGGGCTCTGCAACACATTTTCAACAAGGTCAGAAAACGCCGCTTATCGGTTGTCGAAGCTCCTGAGAACACGCCAGCCATACATTATAGCTCAGCACGCGGCCTGGAATTTACAAATAATTTTCAAAGTCAGCTAAAATTTGTACACGTGCGCCGAGAAGGTAAAAGTGTGCATGCATCTCTCAACAGGTACCACACGCATTAAGGGACGGAGTCTGCTTTATCATTGTTATGCTACTGCATCAGCTGCGTATAGGTTCACTGAACAAGCGCCATTCTGTCAATAAGCCTTGTACACGGCTGCCGCGTTCCCTTACCTGCCTCTATAGGAAGACGGATAGTTACGGAGGTTAGTTCAGGTGCTCCGCTGCCTAAATCGGCAGGAGACTGATGCGCTGCGCCCAACTAACAAACCTTATTATTTCTTATGTTTTCGTTCCCTAATCGTACGTAGGACTTGTCGACTGCATTTGTTCCACGCAGCTGGTCTATTCTGGTGTCTCAGAGGGGCTAAAGCAGTCTTAATAGTTTGTACTATTGCCTATGAATAGGCTCTTGTCATTTTTTTCTACTACGGCTTCCAGCCTAGCGACTTTCATTCTTTTTAGCCGGAGGATAACGTTAGCTGGGGAATAACATATGTAAATTGAAGACAAGCACACTGCCTTGTTTGAAAGACTCGGGCATCAACAGCCGTTATTTTTTTTCCGTCTACCTGAAGGTCTGCGCTACGCTCCATTTTCGCCGATCGTTTCGCTTATCTGTGGTTTTTGAGATGAGTTGTTACCTGGTTTACCTTATGGATAAGAGCTGCAGACAAGACTTTCCCAATCTTGCTGCGTGTCCTTTCTTCGTGGCTTTTTCGTAACCAACTCAAGTATAATTAGCTTTCGTGGTCTGGCCTGACTGTATTGATTACGCTGACGATGTCCGTGGGTAATGAATGGATCTTAGCCAAAACGGTAACTATGTCCGGTCAATATAATACATAAGCGAGCAAGCTTGCAGGCACAGAAAATCACACTCACGCTTGACCCACAGTGTAAGTACAATAGTTTGCTCGTTTAATGTTACCATTATCGATACAGTGTTCAACGTAACGCTTTGTGCATTTTTCGCGGCGAGCTGTGCGTCTGCCTTCTGATATTTTGCCGTCACAAAAGGGGGGGTCGTGCAGGTCGAAAGCAGCTGTAGTTACATTCGACTTTTCTTTTTTTGCACTCTGTTTGCCATTTGCTTCGATTCCATGTCGGTCTTTTAGACTCCCGCCTATTCGCATAGTACTGAAAATGTCCCGGAAATGATTGGTGGAATAGAGGAATGCAAGGGCGTCTGATGTGTTCAACATGAAGTTCCGTTAGAACAGCTGAGTTCGTTCCTACACAAAAAGAGGACATGGTGGGTGTAAACCTGATGGAGAAATGGTGAGAACAAAAAATTAGATATATCTTCCGTTCGGTTCTTACAAAAGAGTGGTTCGCGCGAAGTGAAAGTGGATGTGACGGTGTTGAAGGTGATGAGGATAATAAAGATAACGATCACGACGATGACACTTCGATAAAGTGTACGCGGAAGCGATTGGAAGCGATTGAAACAGAAAGCGATTGAAACGAAGCCGAACATCTAAGGAGATCCCTGTGCGCTCATTCCGAAAAGTAGGAAACCACACGATTTAAAAGTGCGGCCGTATAAGAAAGACGAATAAACTTTTACGAGCGCAGATGGTCTTCCCAGGGTGCCGGTGGCATCCCCACTCCAGGAAGCGGTAGTTCCTCCCTGCAATTTTAAATACAATAATAATGAAAAAGAAGCCTGTGCGCAAATGAATTCAGAAGAAACCGGAGAACCGAAAAAGGAAAAAAAAAGAAAGCGCAGCGAAGGTAGGCGGCCGCAAGGCGTACATTTTCCATGCTACACGTCATTGCTGGCCGAAGCGGCTCTTTACAAGTCCCGAATAATGAATCCTAATTACGCTGGAGCTTTCTAATATATCGGAAGCAGTAGAAATTGCAAAAAAAAAACTTAATGAAAAGATATATGTTGAAGTGTTTCACCACCTTTGCAACTTACTTATTGCCCTTATAAGTTCCGAGGAGAGATGTGCGAACTTTTTGGTGTATTTATTCATTAGCGGCTAACACCTACCATACCGGCGTACGGAAGTGTACGCCTCCATGTGAAAAAAAAGGGCAAGAAAAGAATGACCTGAGTGCCTCAACAGCTGCTGTCGAGAACGTCATTAATCATGAAAATGAGAGCTGAGAAAGTAGCTTTCACAAATCAAGATATCAATCTACAGGTGCAAAAAAATAACAAAAGAAACTAAACGCACTCAATAAGGTGTATCAGGTAGCTCGATCTTTAAATGCAGCGGTGGTGCTTGCGTTTTGCAAACGATAGTTTAGCACCGCGTGCTACGTAATGAAGAACCCGTCTCTTTAGTGAAAATTGCATTGTATGAGCTCGACCGAAGGCAGGTATATTTATAAACAGTTTGCAAAGTGTTTCTCGAAGACTTTGAAGTCGCTTGTCTTGTCTTTTATCCGGTGCAAATGAATTCCTGGTAATGAGGTCGGCTTAACAATCTTTAAGTAAGCTTAACGGGTTTTAACGAGGCGGGCGCGTGGATTACAGAGTTAAGAAAATTTATACAGCGTAGTAAATTAGGAATATACTTTTATGCATAGTCTACATTCTTACCACCTTATGACACGCATACACTATAGAGCCACTGTTTACGGCTACCTTGAGGAGTCGTATACAGTAATCATATAGTGAATGCAGGTCTGGTTCCTCTATACGAGGATCTATTATTGAGTACCTACACGAAATTTAAATATTTTCGGCTTGTTGCTATAAGTAAAATCATGGATGTCGAAAAGCCTGCTGTACGGTTTGAATGTAATGGTTATATCTTTAATACCACAACATTAAAAAAAAAAACACTTTTTTCGTTTCGGTATCGAGGGGGTGGCTTCGTGGTGACGTGTCAACCCAAGTCAGACGTCACGGGAAGACGGCGACTGGTGACATACCGGCACCAGCCTTTTCATCTGCTGCCAGTTGCACGCGATTCACGTGAACAACCACGAGCGAATTGTTCATGAGTAACACCGACAGCAAAGTCGGTGATTTAGGCTACACGCAGGAGGCATACTTCGCGAACCCAGTGTACAGTGTTGACTCGGTGCAATTGTGTTCATTACGGTGCGCCTCTCTGGCTGATATAACGTGACATAAGCTCAAAGTAAAATGTTTCTACACGTGTTGTGTGTCTCTGGTGCGTGGAGAGCGTTGATAGCACACCATAACAAAATATCCCGTTTTGGTGTGCCTCAAAATCGTGTCAGTAGTACTCCTTTAAGTAGCCATATACATCTAGAGGAACCATGCACAATAACTCTAGTATACTCATGACAGGGCGTCTCTCATAATCATATGGTGATTTTGGGACGTTAAACCCCTCAAACCAATCAAAACACTCATGGCAGACACGTTCTCGTTGCATGCCCGTTTTCTCGTGTGTCAGTTTACGCGCCTGAACCTGAATGTTCGCTCTTAAACCTGAATGTTCGCTAATAAAACGAGCTTGTTCACTGGTGCAGAAGGGCATGGGGTGCGTGGGGTGGGGAAATATTATGTGTGCTGGCACAAACGAACGAAGCTGCAGGAACGTATAAGCGTGCCGCGATTGTTGAGCGCCATTACGCCAGATGGGCTTGCAATCAGGAGGGCATGTATGTGCACAAATTTTCTGATGGAGGGAGCATGCTTACTTGCAAGACATTTATTGTAGCTGTTACCGTTCGGTGTCGCTGAATGAGTTGCACCATTGTAGTTGCACGCGCTTACTAAGAATGTCGGTTACGGTAGTTCCGCGTATAGATGTCGCCGTATTCGTCCTCCCCCTTTATGTGCGATTATGTGCGATCCCTTGAACAGACTCGACAGACGATCACTTATGCTTAGACTTGGACTGTGGCTACATCCTGGTAGTAGAAGATGCGCAGGGAGGGCTGTTCGTGATTTTCTTTAATTGACACGATTTTAATAAACTGCTTATAGTTATTAATATTGCTACTTTATAGTGGCAAGTTAAGAACATGTCTTATAGTCACGATATCTCAGGTCTCTCCTCAAATCCACGCGCTAATCTTTCGCCTTTTACTAAAGATTACCGTGGGGAGGAACACTCCAATGAGCCTATAGGCCAATTTTCAGGAGGTACATGTTCTAAATTATCTGTACGAATGCTATCTGCACTGTGACCACGCTGTGTGTACTTCGTTATGCTCATAGACTCTGCTGAAGATTTACACGCCCCATATTGTCAATGTACATAGTGCTTCATTATTATTTTTTTATATTTCCTTATCTTTTACTCTTTCTAACTTTTTGTATTTGTTTCTTCAACACTTTTGTCAAGATAATGGGATAGCGGGCTGTAACGTTGCCTACCTTCCCATATCTTTTTCATATGTAAATATAACTTTAATTGTCGACTGCTTATTATTGCTTGAAATCTGCTTGAAATAACTATACAAATCGTATTGCCGAAAACGTGATTTGATGTTACAAGTGTGTGGCTGAAGTCGTCGAGGTAAAAATTAAGATTGTGCAATCAAGCTGTTCTGTCCACAGCGGTGTTTCGCACCACTCTATTTTTATTCGCCGAAAGTACGTTGTTTAAGATAGCATAAAAAAAAGGGAATTTATCAGCGTCCTAAGACACCGAATAATTCTTGATGAGAGAATGGCTGTGCAGTTCCTATAGAGTTCCTTCCTTCTCCTCGATCAGAAGAAAAAGCACACAGTGTGCAAGTTTCGTTGCGTAGCCCTTTCGTATTCATCTGGGGACCCTACTTAGGAAAATTAAGGAGGCAAAATTTAACCCGACACCCTTTTACTGTCCACAGTCCTTACTACTCCCAGTGTAGGTGAAACTGGAGCCTTATAAATAAAAAAGTGATGTTCTATATTCAAATACAAAAGAAAAATCATGCGCCATGATTTCATAAGAAAAAATATCGGTCAATTCTATTGGCGGACATATCATTAGTGAATATAGCTAGTCTGTACCAAAAACGCTTATATATAAAAAAGAAATAACAGCGACTTGCGAGCTCGGCCCAGATATCTCATTAGATAACAATAAACACATCGTTGAAGTCATTTAAGCCATATTTTTGCCAACGCGCCATCAATTTGTTGTAGTACGCTTCAGAACAGCTTATTTTTGTTAATAGTGAAGTTAAATGATAAGATCTTTCAAAGAATATATGTGGTATAGAGCAGGCCAACCTCAACATCTGAATTTTCACGCATTCATATACATATTCCTGTCTTATATTCAACAGACTTCATTACTTCTTCCACACTTGTATAACGGCTGCAGCGCCGCAGCTGTATGCAAAGTGCACCATTAGAAATGATGGACCCTCGAGTTGCGCCGGGAGAGCGTATTTTTTACCTCTGCTCAATATACGCAAAGCACGCCACCATACGCACCGCACCGTTCGATCTAAATGGTAGAGGGCGTCGTTGCATTACTGTCGCCCCATCATTAACGCTCGCAAACCCTGCGTTGCACTCACAGCGCACGTTGCCCTGACTACGGCAGCATGCTGTTTCCTTCACCAACTCGCTCCTTTTAAAGCTATCTTTCTCTCTTTTATCTCTTTTTTTTAACGTAACAGCGGGGCATTGCACGAGATTGCTCACTTATGCTTTTTCTCAATGGTATTGGGCTACAATGCAACGCTGGCTCTCACATGCCAACGTCGCCGGCCGTTGGAGAGGGGCAAATGTGCGCCCGTTTTTCACCGAAACGCGCGGCTGCGGTAGTCAGCGCAGCAGCGTCCCCTAGTATAGCGAACGCCTGCGGCGAAACACCGAAACTCTTGTACATTATTCACTTTGAGTGTTGGTCCCCGGGCCCCTCTAAAGCTTCCTCACTTCTAGCTCTACTTTAGAGAGCGGCTCTCTTTAAAACTGCTCGGCAAAGTGAGCTGTCCATGCTTGGAAGGCTTGCGACGAGCGCGTACGCCTTGCGGTGTGCTACAGGTCCGCGGAGCTCGCTAGACTTGGCTACATGCGGTATCGCCGCTCCGCGCCACCAGGGATCATGCATTCGCAATGGTGCGGCAGAGGCCGCTGCGAACAAACGAGGGGTAAACGAGGGAATGAGGAAAAAGTGGGGCAGGCACACGATGTGGCGAGGTGGTTGCTCGTCGTTGCACTTTCTATTGGTGTGTGCTCGCGGTTGGTGCTCTTTTTGACGTTACTCTGTCAAGACATGCCTCTCTACCAGTTTGTACATTCATATGTATCTCTCGTCCTTCCATTTTCTATCCCTCACACCCCGACACCTTCTACCGCTTATGCACAACAAAAATTAATTTTAAAGAATTAAGCCATGTTGAAAGGACTTTTTAAGAATTATTATTGTGTGGAAGCTGCCGTAACGCCCTGCCAGCAATAGGGGAGCCAGCGCTTGCCCTTCAAAAATCTCGGAGGACTGCTCTTTTCTTGTGGTGCCCACTTAGAGGTCAAGTGGCTTTGATCCCTTATCGTAAATGATTCATTAAGTATGTGGCATGCCGTGTCGTTATGAAAGGACGCACCCCAACATAAAGCGTAGCTGTTTTTATTAACGTGGTAGTAGTGGCAGGGCGAGCCGATGCTGCGCTCGAACGGTGAAGGAAGCAGAAGATGAAACCGAGCTTGCCAGCTTGGGTCTACCAGTGGTTACCTTAGCCTTCGGTGAAGCTGCGGTGACGTTTTCCCTTGTCGGAAGCGAGTTGCAGCAAGTGGCCGTGTCACGAAGGGCTAACCAGTGACGAGACGGAGGTTGAGCAGGTTTGTGCGCAGTGGTCGCCAGAAATATAACACGAAAGATTGTTGTAGCCGACGAAAATACCACATCGAGATGTGTTGCTGGCTTGATATCGAATAAATTTTGCCAAGATTTCGAGGCTTACTATAAAAACTAGTAACTCAAAAAATCACTTGGAGGAATATATGACCCAAGAAGGATTAAAAAGGAATTTAAATAGAAAAACTTGCCAAATAAAATTCGTTGGCTGTGTGGCGAAAATGCGTCATTTCCTTCGCCGAACATTTCCCGTTTATCGTGCTCCTAATGAGACAGCGCCTAGCGCCGCCATGTTTTGAAGAGATAATTTCCACTGCAGCAATTTTTTTTTTAAGCCTTCTTGCCATCACGTTTTTCACATTTTTTCCAACTATACTTCTAGCGTTTATCAGCGTCTGGAACCGCCGCCTCTGAAGGCAACCACTGCAGCGCGAGTTTGACGCGAACTTTTTTGCAAAATATAAATTTTTCTCTGATGTGGACCCTCCTTCACGTCGGCTCTATATATTGTGTCCTGCACAAGGCTAAATTGCCACTAAATTCAATTGAGCCTTCATAGAAAAATGTTCTGCGCCTACATTTGTTTTGCACCGCGGGCACAACTAATTCAAAACTAATTCATATGGTTCAGGTATAACTGGGCGTGGTTGGGTATAGACCAGTGGCTAAGACACTCGCCTGCGGACTTGAGTTCAAAGCTCAGTATCGGAAAGAAGGTTTACTCTGTTTTATTCTTCTATTTCTTTATGATGATGACCGTCCCAAATCTCGGGAGACAAGAGATATAATTTATTTACAGAAAGGTAAAAAGGTCAACTTGAGCTGCAGTTTGCTCTGGCCTGCTACTCTACACTGGGGAAGGGTGACTGGGGAGTGAAAGAGTGATGATGAATGGCGATGGTAAGGCTGGGAGATGAGAACGTGGTCTCGTTAGGCTGTGGTAACTCTGCGGAAGTGCATCCAGTCCAGTGGCTTTTAAGAATGCGACAACGGCTCATATCACCAAGTTTGTGCTGCTGGCGTCAGGCCAAGGACCTAACACAACCTCATCGGTTAACGGTCGACTAATATATTGTCCAATCGAAGATATCAGTTGGGAGACAAAATTACCGATGCGATAAACCGCTCGGAAAGTATACATATAACTTGGCCGCAATGCCGTATACGGGAGTGTCCACCTCTTACGAAAGTACGTTTCTCTGTGCTGAATTCATAAGCTATAAATGAGCGACATGATTATGAGGCAATCTGTATGTAATGGGACACTTCAAAATAGATTAGCATTATTGGGGAAGGAGATACCACCTGCGTCAGGTGCGGTGTAATGTAACTAACAAGTTTAGACCTTGTCTTGTTCTCCTCTTTTCCAAACCTCTGCTCTCTCCTTCTTTGTATTCTTGTATTGTGCACCCCAGGCCAAAAACTTTCGATACGTAATCCTTTGTTTGGGCAGTTGATGAGGTACCCACCACGCGTTCGTAAGGAAACACAAACACCTATGCACCTCGACACGTTGTTGATGCTGTTGTCGGTAATAATATTAAATTACGCTGTGCACCTTGTATTTGATGAGCCTTCGAATTAAACCACTCGCTGCGTAATTCACATGTTTTTGACGCCTGCTGCGATTCTAAGCTTCTGCCACGAAATATAGCGCGCGTTAATGGTAGTTTTTCCCGAAGTTATTTCGAGCATAGGCGTGGCTATGCAGGTAGGGCACCTACTGGCTTCGCGGAAGTCCTGGATTTCAGTCCTTCTGAAAACAAGGATTCTGTAGTATTTTAGTTGCATCTAACTCGCATTCTCGCTCACGAAAAGCGCCCATTTCTCGCTCAAGAGCGACGCCGACACCAACACAGAAAATGTCTGCGAAAAGAGCTCTTTAAGCCTAACGCGTTAATAGTGTACAACGTCTTCTCTTAAAGCGATGAAATATTTCGCACAAGAAAAGCTGGCATGGTACTATATGGCTTAGAAAAAATAACGAAATCAACAACAAAAAAGAACGCACATGTCCTAATAAAAAAAATACCAGTCATAACGATATCGAACTAAGAGCAAAGAATTTCCGAACGCACCGAAGGATCAACGGATACAGCGGTGTGCAGTCGTTCCTAAACTGATGGGCCTGACAGCTCGAAGCAGCTAGCGGCCTCCTTTCATTAGTCGTGTGGTGTCAAGTGACACGCCTCATCATATCCATGACGGGGTCCGGAGAATAGCTGTATTTCAAAGCAGATCAAATAGTGTCGGAAGCGAACAGTAACCAAATGAGGGTGTGGAAATAAATACCACAAGACGAATGTCTGACGATAAACAACAAAAGCGAGACGTTAGAAATTTTTTTATAGCGAAGCTGTGCATGACTGGGAGGCGGAAATATTTTGGTGGTCTGTGAGTTCGCAGGAACCTTAATGAAGACGCAATGCCTGCATACGCTACCTTAGAGGGTATGCGTTCTTGCGCCATGGCTTCTATAGTGTTATTTTTTTTCAGCATTTATAACAGCCCATCATGATTCACCACCCTTAAAGACCGTTACAAAACGGAATGTGTGCTTACAAAAACATCAGTTCGATGGCGTGATAGAATAGCCAAAAAGCTACCACACAACACACTTTGGTAGACCCCAGCTCGTGATAGACACCATATATAGTCTTACGATCTAGCTTCGCGAGTTACCCATCTGTGCGGAGAGCTTGGGCGGCGACTTCTTCACTCGTATATAGTTTGAGAATGACGTGCAGTATTTTCAGGAATAATAAAGAAAGGTGTTCGAATATAGGTAATCATAACGTTAGAAGGTTTCGGTCATTAACGCTATAGCTTATAAAACGCTTACAATCACAAATAGTGCAGTATACGACAAGAAGGTTATATTTCTCGTTCGTACAGCTAGAAGCTCCTCGATGTTTATGCCCGACCGTGCGCATCCGTATAAGCTTAAGAAGGCGACACTATCTGTCAATAGTGTTCACGCATACATCTGTAAGGAAACGTGTAATACAAGCGTGTACCTATTGCCAAATCCAGTGGGTGGGAGTTCATGCTGGCGATACTGGAGGTCGTGTTTGAACGATAATTAAGGCAACGTTCTATCCTTCAATATTTCAAAACAGCTTGTGTGGCTTAACGTGCAGTCCAACGATACAGTTACAAGGCACACCGTTGAGGGCTCCGGAAAATTTAAACCATTCGGTGTTCTTTAAACGCGTTCTGACACCGCACAGTTCACGGGCCTCTGTCATTTCGCCTCCGCAGAAATACGGCCGCCGCAACCGGAATCGAACCGGCGACTTTCGGGTCAGCATCAGAGCAGCGTAAACCACTGCGGTGGACAATATCTTATAGTCGTCATTGTAATAACGTGAGCAGCAGACAGCATACCAAGAAGCAACTGATAAGTTTATTAGAAGACGCACCATATATAGGCGCAGAACCACGTGATCGGTCGCACAGGAATGCGCGCACTGGGTGCGCAGTGATAAGTGACGTCACGCTACAACACTCCTTCCCCTTCAGATTACTTCCGAAAGTCACTGGACTGGTATCTGTTCGGGGCATGTCGTACACGTGCACTACGACGCAGAGTTGGAAGTTCGGCTGCAGGTGGCGCGTCGTCGGCACTGGGCTGGTCCGGCGAGCCGGAGGCAGCTGCTCCGGCCGTGGGCGATGCAGTTGCCGGAAGGAGAGACGTCGCAGAGTCGGTTGCGTGTGGATTTGCGAGAGGCGACCCGGCGACTGGCCCACACGCCATCGGAACCGTCGGTGGAGTCGTGTCTACGGATGCCGTTGGAGCAGGTTGTGCCTGCGGATAACTTGAAGAATCCTGGCTTCCGTGGCGGGCTCTGATGTGGTCCGAATGCGTAAATCGCACCGCCTGCGACACTTTCACCAGATAGGTTACGGGACTGATAACCTGTGTCACGACACCATCTTCCCACGACACTGTTTCACCTCGCACAGTCTTCACCCACACAGCGTCCCCCACAGCAAAACATCGCGGAACCCCCCTAGACATGTCCTTTTGCACTTTGGTACGTTGCTGCTGCTCCCGCATGGAGAGCTCGAAATCTGGTTTTAGCAATGACAGCTTTACCCGTGGCTGTCTTTTCAAGAATAATTCTGCCGGGGTCTGGCGAGTGGTACTGTGCGGAGTAGTCCTGTAACTCATTAGATAGCTGTCCAAGCGTTCCCGAAATGAATGTTTGTGGTGGCTAGCTTTGTCCTGCAAGACATGCTTTGACAGTGCTTGTTTGGTAGTCTGCACTAAACGCTCGGCCGCTCCGTTAGAAGCCGCGTGATAAGGAGGTGTCTTGACATGCCTTACACCGTTTACACTCAAGAAGGCCGCGAACTCTTCGGAAATGAACTGCGGTCCATTATCACTCACCAGTACCTCTGGCAGACCATACGCGGCAAACATACTACGTAGCTTCTCAATGGTTTTGTTAGCAGTAGTGGATGACATAGGCGAGACCTCGATCCATTTAGAGAACGCGTCGACGAGAACCAAGAACGCCTGAGAGCCCTTTACCGCATAATCGACGTGCACGCGTTGCCAGGGCCTTGTGGGATAATTCCATGGTTGCAAAGGAACCGGTGAAGCAGCTTTTTGGACGGCCTGACAAACCTGACATTGTCGAACGTAGCTCTCAACCGAAAGGTCGAGGCCAGGCCACCACACAAAGCTTCTTGCTAACGCTTTCATGCGACTAGATCCCGGGTGGTCCTCATGCAATAGCTGCAAGACCTGTAGCTGGAGCTTATCAGGTATGATCACCCTTGATCCTCACGTTATGCATTCTTGCTCTACTGATAGCTCGTCGCGCCGGGAATAAAATGGTCTAAATGCTTCAGAGCACTCTGAAGGCCATCCATTTAAGATGAAGTGCGTCACGCGAGACAAGGTGGGATCACGTCGTGTGGCTCGCGCTACGTCATCCGCTTTGAGGGGCATGCTGTCAAATAGCAAGAGACACTCGGAAGGTTCATCGGCCGCTACAATAGGCCGTGGAAGCCGAGACAGAGCGTCAGCCACTTCAACATTTCTTCCCTTTCGGTATTTTAGTTTATACTGGTACGCTGCCAGGGTAATTGCCCATCTTTGCATTCGAGCTGCAGCAAGCGCAGGCACCGGCTTGTCGTGGCCTAATATTCCGAGCAATGGCTGATGATCTGTATAAAGAGTGAACTCTCGTCCATACAAGTAGCGGTGGAATTTTCTTAACCCAAACATCAGTGCTAATGCTTCGCGTTCGCACTGAGCATAGTTTTTCTCTGCGGCTGTAAGTGTTCTAGAAGCAAATGCCACTGGCCTTTCGTGTCCCTCTGCGGTCTCATGAAAAATGACAGCCCCCAATCCATACGACGAAGCGTCACATGTCATAGCCATTGGTTTCGCCACATCGTAAAAAGTGAGCACATTACTCTTGACAAGTAACAGTTTCGTAGAAGCAAATGCTTCGCTACACTCCCGTGTCCACGACCACCTTTCGCCCTTGCGCAACAGACGGTACAATGGCTCTGCCACGCAGGCAAGGTTACTTAAGAACTTTGCATAAAAGGTTAACATGCCGAGATAAGCCTTTAGCTCTGTTTGGCAAGTGGGCTCTGGCGCTTCTGTGATCGCCTTTATCTTTTCTTCTGTAGGATATATACCTTCAGCGCACACAGTGTGACCGAGATAAGTCACAGTGCTCTGAAAAAACCGACACTTTTCCTCTTTCAGTGTCACGTTGTAGTCACTCAGCCGCTGCAGGACTAGTTCCAACGTTTTTTGACAGTCGGCTAAGTCTTTTCCCGACACAATGACGTCGTCTATGTAACATCCCACGTGCGGTATGCCTTTGAGCACCTCATCCATGAAGGACTGAAAAATGGCTGGCGCACTGGCTACCCCAAATGGTAAGCGCTGGAACTCGAACAGCCCCCTGTGCGTATTAATAGTTAGCAGTGGTCGGGACTCGGCAGTGAGCGGAATCTGCTGATACGCGGCCGAAAGATCCAACACACAAAACACTCTGCCGCCAGCTATGGCAGAGAACAAATCTTCCGGTCTAGGCAATGGGTAGTGGTCGGTCTTTAAAACAGGATTAATGGTGACTTTGTAGTCCCCGCACAGCCTCAGTGAACCATCTTTCTTTTGGATTACGACTACTGGCGTGGCCCAATCGCTCCGATTTACGGGGCGTATAACACCGCTTTTCTCTAGCCTTTCTAGCTCGCCTTCCACTTTATCTCGAAGCGCAAATGGGACGTTTCTGGCCTTGCCAAAAATAGCCGTACAATTCTGGCTTAAAACTATCCTTGCTTGATAGTTTTTTACTTTTCCAGGTTGCTTAGAAAACACCCCTGGGAACTTCTTTTTAACCGCCTCTACCTTGTGAGAGTCGCTTACATTTATAGCAAACACGCTTTTCCAGTCAAGCCCGAGCCTTTCAAGCCAACTTCGCCCCATCAGCAATGGTAGCTGCTTGCCGTTATCCTTGACGATAATAGCGGGTAGCCGCAAAGACTGTTTTCCCACCGTAACGGAAACGTTGCATTGCCCTTTTACTCGAACAGGTTCCCCAGTGTATGTTTTTAGGGTGACTCGAGATGGCTCGCACTTGACATGAGGAAATGCGTTCAGCCTCACACTCTCAGGAATTAGTGTTACAGCTGCTCCCGTATCAATCTGCATGCAGAGGTCTTGCCCTTCTACGTTTAGCTGCACTTCATACCCAGAACGCACGGTATTGATAACATGGTACACATCTAATTCAGAGTCACTATCAGAGCAGTCCACCACGTTTGCAGTCTTGAGTTCTCTGCGATTACTTGGACACATCTTCTGTAGATGACCGATTTGAGAACAGCTGTGACACTGGACGTTCTTATACCAGCAAACACTAGCCGCATGCGCCTTGCCACATCTTTCGCAAACTCGCTTGGCTTCCTTGACCTTCCGAAGCTTCGATTTCTTTTCGCTTCCTTTTCCTCTTATCGCCATTGCATAAAAAGCCGCTTCCTTGCCTTCTGCATGAAGTAACGCTGTCTGTCGCGCAGCCTGCTCTCGGTCCTGGGCTATCTTGCACGCCTTTTCGAAGGTTAAATCTTCTTCAGCAAATAGGGCGAGTTGCGTTTCCTCGCGTCTTATGCCTGCCACTATTCTGTCTCGCAGCGCGTCTTGCAGAAACTGACCGAAATCGCACTTCCTTGCTAACTGTTTTAAGGCCACTATGAAGTCCTCGACGCTTTCCTGCTCTTCTTGTGCTCGCTTGTTAAATTTGCAACGTTCGGCAATGACCGAGCACTGTGGGCTATAGTGTTTCTTCAACAGCACTGTGACCTCTTCAAAGGACTTGTCCCCAGGAACAGCGGGTACTACCAAACTTTTGAGCACCTCGTACGTTCGTGGTCCTATCACACTCAAGAATACTGCCAGCTTCTTTTCCTCTCTGATGTCATTTGCGGTGACGAAGTGCTCAAAACGCTCCAGATAGGATTCAAAATTCTGATCCTTCTCGTCGAACTCGTCTAGCTTGCCTAGTCGCGCCATTGTTCAGTAAAAGTGCAGTATACTTATCGGGTTGCTTTCCCCGACGACTGCGTTGCCTCTTGCCGAAGGTACGTAGTGCCGCCGAGTTCAACCGTCCCAGGCCATGGCTGCCGTTGTTTTCTGGTCCATGGCTGTCGACCGCCGATCGCCCGCAATACTGCTTCGTACTGAGCTAGTACAAGGGGGCGGATCCCATTCTCGTCACCAGTGTAATAACGTGAGCAGCAGACAGCATACCAAGAAGCAACTGATAAGTTTATTAGAAGACGCACCATATATAGGCGCAGAACCACGTGATCGGTCGCACAGGAATGCGCGCACTGGGTGCGCAGTGATAAGTGACGTCACGCTACAACAGTCATCACATCGAACGCCCACCATGTGAGAGAATTAAAAGGCGCTGCTGCCTTTAGTCCCGAGGCCCACCAGCTTTTCCCTTTTCTTTCCTTTTGTTGCATCTGCGTCGTTTTGTTTTTTTTTTTTTGTTCATCGTCTTCCGATTACATGACTTTCTAACGAGTTTCACGTTGCCCTCACGAAGGGAGTGTTAGAGTGATTCTGCGTTCTCTTGTTTTCAGTGCAGCTATAGTTAATCCCGACCTGGAGCCTCTTTAATCTATGCAAACCTATCGTGTGGAGTTTGTTTTATCGGTGCACAACAATCTAGAAACTATACGACGATCCAAACCAAAAAAAAAAAAAGAAGTGTAGTGGGCATTGAATTTACGGTTAACAAACAACCTGGCGCTTTTCTTGAGTGCCCTCCAGAAATACTTCGTTCCTCTTTGGGAACAACTCGTTAAAGATTCTCGATTGAGGCCCGTGACGTTGCTTCTCTCGCTCAGCTGTCGTCTCTTTCGCGACCCTGTTTGTCTATGCGCTTAGGGAGAACGGGAGTAAAGAAGGCAGAGAAAGTAAGGGAGCCATTAAGATTGTATTCCCGATGGAGGCTTTTGTTTGGGAACAATGAGAACGCCTGTAACGATGTTTGGGCTGCTAGTGAACAGTAGTGGATGTGCTGTTTCATTTTATCGAGTTGGTGATGACTTTTCAGCCAAGGCGGAATGTATAAATCACGTACGAAAAGAGAGCATGCGCTTGTGTGTGTGTGCGTGCGTGAGTGTGTCTGTGTGTTTGCGTGTGTACTGGTAGGAAATGGGCCAACAAGATTGTCCCTGGAGCCAGCATTTCAACAAGGGTACTTGTTTTCGTCGTGGGCAGGTGAAGCGTTGACTCCGAGAACATTTCTTGTTCAGATATGTATCATTACTTCAAGTATATATTTTCTATTGAAAGTCTCTCTTAATAGATAGATAGATAGATAGATAGATAGATAGATAGATAAATGGATAAATACATGGATAGATAGATGGATAGATAGCTGGATAGATAGATGGATAGATAGATGGATAGATAGATAGATGGATATATAGATAGATAGATATATGGATAGATGGATAAATGAATAGATAGATAGATAGACAAATAGATAGATAGATATATGAATAGATGGATAGATGGGTAGATAGATGAATGGATATATGGATAGATGGATAGATAGATGAATGGATATATGGATAGATAGATGGATAGATGAATGGATATATGGATAGATGGATAGATAGATGAATGGATATATGGATAGATGGATAGATAGATGAATGGATATATGGATAGATAGATGGATAGATATATGAATGGATATATGGATAGATAGATAGATAAATAGATAGATAAATAAATAGATAGATAGATAGATAAATAGATGGATGGATAAATACATGGATAAATACATGGATAGATAGATGGATAGATAGAGAGATAGATGCACAGATGGATAGATATATGGATAGATGGATAGATAGATGGATAGATAGATGGATAGATAGATAGATGGATAGATATATAGATAAATAGATAGATAGATATATGAATAGATGGATAGATAGATGAATGAATATATGGATAGATGGATGGATATATGGATAGATAGATAGATGGATAGATATATGAATGGATATATGGGTAGATAGATAGATAGATAGATAGATAGATAGATAGATAGATAGATAGATAGATAGGTTTCCCGTTTGATTCTTTTAAAGGGGGCCCTTAATCACCCCTCGAGTTTGATAAAAAAAATCACATGGGCCGGAAAGCAGAAGCTGCATGCTGTAACTGGCTCACCCAAATCTTGCTATCTTGCGTGGCGAAGAACGTTTATAAGCGCAACACGAAGCTGCCACTTTCTCAGGCGTGCTGTCTCTATACACAGGCCCATCCTCACTCTCTTCGGTGCGCGGTGAGATAGCCCTGTGTCGTCATCAGACAGATTGTTGCTCTTTGTCGATAGACATAAACGAAGAGCGCTGTTTGAATCACATGCGCCTCTCGCCACAGGGTACCGCCATGTACCACCGCCGTGTTTTTGCATGTTAAAATCACACAGTAGCAGCGCCTGGATTTGCACCGGCAGTGAGCCCACGCGTTTTGAGAGGCGCGATCAAGTTTTTGACGTGCGCTGACGTAGCTTCTATCCCCCGTGCCATCCCCCTCTCCTTGTGTAGCTTCAAGAGTGGCTCAAAGTGTGGACAATTGATTGATTTATATGTGGGGTTTAACGTCCCAAAACCACTATATGATTATGAGAGACGCCGTAGTGGAGGGCTCCGGAAAATTAGACCACCTGGGGTTCTTTAACGTGCACCCAAATCTGAGCACACGGGCCTACAACATTTCCGCCTCCATCGGAAATGCAGCCGCCGCAGCCGGGATTCGAACCCGCGTCCGGCGGGTCAGCAGCCGAGTACCTTAACCACTAGACCACCGCGGCGGGGCGTGTGGACAATTCCCCACATAGCTCCGCTCGGTTGAGGTGGATAAAAAAAAATAACATTTAGCGACGAGCAATTCGTGCGGTTATGAACCCGGATATTGAGGTTTGTACTGGCTTTCTGTGGAGATGTCGAGGTTTTGTATTACCTCGGCTACTCCGTTTAATATTTTCTACAGGAAAAAAGAAATACGAAAGTGGTTACCTAAAATAAGAAAAACAAGCGAAGAAGAAAATAGCAAACTCGGACGAGCTAAAAAAAAATAACATGGTGATGCACAGGTTGCTTGGAGCAGTTCACATTGCCATATAACGTTAAAGGGCCACTCACCAGGCCCCATACCGAATTTTAGTTAGGCAGTGGAAATGGTTGGGTGTCCGATGAGGAAAATTTTGCCACAAAAATTTTTCGAATCGCTTCATCGCGAGCGGAGAAAACGGGTTTTTTGAAGCGGCGCGAAACGAGGATCAGAAGAGGTGAGCTCGAAACCCTTGCCGCTCCTCCGCGTAGCCTTCGCAAGCAAAAGCGCTTTCCCACCCTCTACGGCATCCGACCAAGAGGTGACGTGCGCATGACGTGCCCAAACAAGTCCATCCCCCGAGCACGCGAGCAGCGTTGCTTTGTTGACCAGCGTTGTTTTGTGGTCTTCTGCCTGTTTCTGCGGGATGGTTTGGAAACGCTGGCTTGAACGCGGTAGAGTAGATGAGCACAATGAGTGCCCGAAAGCGTAGGAGCGTTCCACGGCTCAATGCGCTGACCACGGGGACACGAACGCATGCGAAACGCTGGCGCATTAGCCCCGCATCTCGTAGCATTTCACGGGAAATAATGAAAGAAAAACGCGCACATTTTTTTATTGCGTCTCACTATTTAGTTCAAGCTTTATTAATCTTTTAAAGCAACAAATACATAAACTACGCACGTTGTGTTAAATAAGTTTTGAATGTCACGTGGTATACTGCTGACAACGTCAGAGCAGAGCTGTCTACGTAGATGACCAACGTCACTGCATTGCCGTGTACGTAGGGCCATTCATACGCCCACGTCATGCCCTCATTCTCTAAAGGCACTGCGCCGTGTCACCTGTAGGCAGACAGAAATTAGGTGCCTTCTTCCTTTTCCTCATGAACCACTAACAACAACAACATTCTCTAGGCGTGCGCCGAGGGAGCGGTAGCAGCGTTCTTTTTGAATTTTGACCCATTTCCGCGGCGTGTAGCGTTGTAAATTTTTGGAGACGTGATCATGAACGCCTTGTCTACGCATTGCGCTTGTCAGCTCAAAATTGTCAATCCTGGTGAGTGGCCCTTTAACGCACACACCTCTATTTCCGCCCTCAGAAAACAAACAGAAAAAAAAATTGCCCGCAGCTTCCCTCGGGGGAACACTGAGGAGGATGCGGAGCATATAATTGGTTAACGGGGTGTTAAAGTGCGACTTACTTGGGTCGATGGCTAAATTGGTTAACGTGGTAGTGAAATGGGGTGTTAAATTGCGACTTACTTGGGTCGATGGCTAAATTGGTAAACGTGGTTGTAGGAGGGGGTGTTAAATGAGTGAACACGTACACACGTATGCGAAAGGGCGGCGCTGGTCGAAGGGACGTCGATCATTGTGTTTGTGGATTCGTTGGAATTCATTTCACCGCGACCTTGGACGTCGACGCGCCGTACAAACCAACCGACGAGCGGCAACTGAGCGAGCGAGCGCCGACCTTGAGTATATATACAGCGCGACGGTGCATGCGCGCGTCAGCTGTCGAATGTTCGAGAAGGGGGAGAAGCGCAACGGCGCATGCGCGCGCGTCAGCTGCCGATGTTCTCGAAGCGCGACGGCGCATGCGCGCGCGTCAGCTGCCGATGTTCTCGAAGCGTGACGGCGCATGCGCGCTACATTATACAGCTAGCGAATGTTCGTGAAGAGGAGAAGCGCACGCGGTGTGTAGAGGAGGAAGGGTGCACAGATGGTGGAGGAGTGAAGCGCGCGCGGTGTGTAGAGGAGGAAGGGATGCACAGATGGTGGAAGAAGGAGGAGGAAGCTTGCGGACGGCGCCGCACTACAAGCCTCGAGTATTAGATGCTCCGCATCTAAAAATGACAGCATATCCATGGGGTGAATGATGGAGAGTGGAGCGTAGCTGGGTCCGCACGCCGCTGCCGCGCCGCTTCGGCCTCCCGTTCTCGCATACGCTGGGATCTTGTCGCCGCCACCGCACAGCTTCCCAGCACGCACGCTTCTGTCTCGTGCGCTCGCCCATCGGGATTCCGTACTTCGAGCGCGAGCCGCCGCCGCCTTGCGCGCACGCCGCTCTGCAGCCTTGCCCATCTGCC